GCGCTGCCTCACGCGGATAATGACAGAGTGTGACACTACAAGCCTTCTGGCAACTTCTCGGGCTCCAACTTCATCCTGCAGGGTCTCTTAGCTTTCATTTTGGTGGCATGTTGATGCAATACTGGATTTTGTGCAAAAACGGCGGCTTATATTGTCACCAAAGTGAGCACAGTTCGAGGCCGTACATCCGTTTATGACGTGCACCATAAATTTTAACTGAAGAATGTCCGTGGTGTCGCACACAAGTCGATAAAAAACAGCAAATTTGGCTAAAATTCCCCGATTATGTCCGTGCTGCACGTGGTGGTTTTGCCCCTTTAGGAAGCTTTGCAGTACGCATTGGTAACCCATTAACACTTTCAGAGCAAAAAAAAAAAAAAGAATAATTCCTTGCTGTCTTTTTTTCGGATTAAAAAAAAAAAATCGGGGCTGTCTGTCAATGTGGTCCTCAACTTATGGTGAAGTCTATATTTAAAAGCAATTCCCATATTTATAATCAATCCAGGGACTCATCCAGTAAGATGTCCCACTCTAATGAATGTTTATAACTCCCTGTGGGCTGGATAACCTAAATTGTATCAAAGAGATTCAACATAATAGTACTGATACAAATCTACAGCGCCAAACAAACGGAAGATGTCCATCAACACTTGCATCCAAAGCATGAAGCAGGACCGCGCTGACTACGATGAACAGTTGAACGGTGTGAAAAATGTGGGAGCTTTCGCGGAGGAGGGTACGTCTAGGTTGTTATTTTACACTGTACACGTTTGTCTGTTTTTGTTTTAGTAAGGTTTTACGGTGTGGGTGGTTGGTGGCTGCTCTGGTGTGGTTTGCTTCTCCTTTCCTATCAAACGTCTATCGCCTTTATCTCCCCCCCCTTCTTTTTTGTGTTTGTTACTCTCTTGTAACACCTCTAATCTTCAGCACTTATATGACCTTATTGTGTTGCAAGTGTTGTAAAACTCTTACGAAAAAAAGAAGGTTTTACGGCGCTCGCAATTGTATAAGGTCATATGAGCGCCAAGAGGGTGGATGTCAACAGAGACGTCTAAACGGGGAATCAGACTTGCCCTGCTCACCCCTCT